ATGTATGTATGTATGTATGTATGTATGTATGTATGTATGTATGTATGAATTAATGTATGTATTGTAGTGAACTAGGCCTCCGACATCAATCTGTCTCTGAAGACCTTCAGGGGACAGGAACTGTTATTTCATTGATTTGAATCCAGAACACAAATTATCTCATCAAGAGACTATTTAATTGTATCCTGAATTAATCAATTGAAAGAACACTCTTCTTTTTATATTATCATTACTATTTTATAATGTCTTGATAGTCAAAAGTGTGTTTAGTTCATATCATTTCTAATGTTGAAGTAAACCACTCATTTAAATCAACCGTGAAACAGTATTAATGATTTTTTAAACCTCATTAAACTTCATCAATCATACAAGTTAAATGTCTATTTACGAAGTAAGTGTGCATTCACTCTTCTGTCTGTGTGAGGAGTGGACTTTATGTCGGTCGAAAGTCAGAGACAAGTTATGAGAACGAAGTGCCTTGTTTTTAAAACTCTCAGACAGTAAATAAGAACTGGCTTGCACCTGCTGTCTCTCACTTCTTCAAAATATTTCTCTGTCTGTACTAACCATTCGTAAAACATTTCTGCTGTCTCCTGACTTCTAATAACCCTCTGACATCATTAAAACTACACCCTTGCTGGTTGTTTCCACCAATCAGGAAGTACCAAGTGACAGGAAGTGGATACCCTTTAAAAGTCAACACTTCTTGGAACTATTCAGTCTTCCAAGTCTTCACAGTCTTTCCAGTCTTCCTGGAACTTTCAGTCGAAGATGAGAATCAGTCTGATGGAGTCTTACAGCTGAACTAAATAGCTGATGGATTGGACCATGTGCCAAGGGTCCCTCCATTTCAGCGTAGTCACAGCCTGCCTCGCTGTGACTCACCCCGAGCAGTACATGCTCTCAACTTCGAAGGAAGCTTATTCTATTGATCAGAGCATATGGAACTACTTCTAAAGATTCTCAGCCACCCTGACCGGAGACGCTGAAAAGGTAGCGTGCCAATGGACCTCTGTTCCGGAGTTGCTCTATCATCTGCTCAGGTAACAAGCCGTTGACACCCTGAGTGTACCGCGGGCTGAGCTGGATTCGGAGGAAGGGTGCCATTTTCTGGTCAACACATGTTCCTTGATCCATCTAAACCTCCTCTTTAAATCTTTAAACTTCTATTCGTCATTAAATCAAGCTAGATGCCTTCAGAGATGAATCAGTCTCAATCAGTAATCTTCTGTTGTCTTGTTTAGTAAATCGTGCCAAGTTTATTAATCAGAAACAGATCAGCAAATCAAGTGTACATGTTTTGATGTTAAATTTTGATTCTGTTAAATAAATGACCGCATTTATTCTGATGGGTCAAATATAAATTATGTCTCATGTCACTAATTAAAACTCCACTCTCAAGTTATCTTGGTCACATGGAAGAAATTTAACTCAAAAAAGAAAGAATCCGTGTTAATTAAACAATTAATATTCTTTGTGCTTGAACTAGCTTTAAGAATAATTAATTAGTAGTATGTTACAGCGAAAGCTGTCCTTACATCACTACATTATGTATGTATGTATGTATATATGTATGAATTAATGTATGTATGTATGTATGAATTAATGTATGTATGTATGTATGTATGTATGTATGTATGCATGTATGTATGTATAAATGTATGTATGAATTAATGTATGTATGTATGAATTAATGAATGTATGTATGTATGTATGTATGTATGTATGCATGTATGTATGTATGAATTAATGTATGTATGTATGTATGAATTAATGTATGTATGAATTAATGTATGTATGTGTAGTGAACTCTTCCTCCGACCAAAACCTGTCTCTGAAGACCTTCATGGGACAGGAACTGTTATTTCATTG